TGCCCGACGGCACAACCCCTCGACCACTGTGTGGCGCTCACCCGCCAACGTCACCCCATTTCGAGCGCTCGGCTACCATCACACACACACACACGCGCGCGCACGCACACACACGAACGCACGTACGCAACACGGTATACATGGCCGAGTGCCCAGTACAGATCGCTGTCGTATTGACGAGGCCGTCGTTGCCATTTCCGCCGTCTTTTCGGGTTGATTGGCCGGGATCGACTTTGTCGATGCGATTGACGAGCAATTGGCGAGCGTGTTTCGCAGTGATCGTCCCCCGAAAATGACGAGCCTCGACACGATCGACGGGCGAGTGCCGATAAGAGAACTTATGCCGGAATTTGCTCGCTCTGCTGCGTAAAAAGAATTATGACGGGGCGCGATTACAGCACTCGGGGCTCGGTCTTATTGGTAAATTGGCTACCTAGAACACGTAGGGTCACTAGTTAGGCCTTGTCGAAGGGGGTTATTCCCCGTGGCCCTTTCACCCTTCGAGCGGCTGGCGATGCCGCCGCATACTGCTTGCCGAGGTAATTAAGTTTCGGACGATCCGACGGGAGGAAGTCTCGAGAGCTTCGGAGGGCTTGCTCGCGGTTTCTCCAAATACATTCGTGGCCTCGCAATTAAACCGCTATTACAACTTTATACAAAAAAACATAAACATCAGATCTCATAAATATTTTGGGTCGCTGAAACAAATAACGGCGAGCAAAAAACACGTAACGAACTCCACGCTCTGTAAAACAAAATAGTAATCTAAATCTAAATTATGTTGTAACAAAGAATACAAGGAAAAATGTATGTTGAAGTGCGTTAATAAATAGGCGTATACACATATTAAGTATACGTTAAAAAAGGACCGAACAAGAAACACGTTGTAAAAGTGATAAAAATTAATAAGCTAGCAAAAGACAAAGACATTACATGATACATTGCCATCTAAGATTAGAACTGAGTAATATTCATTTTCTCGAGTAATATTCACTAAAAAAAAATCAAGAGACTGAGTTCCCAAGACTCGTAGCATTGAAAGCAAGGTCAAGTGACGATTGCAAAACACGCAGATCCCGTGCCCGGTTCGTAACGAGAATGTTCCAATAAATGACTCAATTCCCACGCACAAATAACCAATTCCATTAAAAGGAACTGAGAATGAGTCACCTCTGTGGGAAAGAGACTTCTCGGATTGAATTGAGTATGTCGCTTGTGAATTATCTCCGGATCACCGCAGAGTTTCTAAAAATTTCTAAATTTATGTTCTTCGATGAATTGTTAAATAAATTGCTATTCATGTGAAAACTATTAATTTCAAAAAGTGCGAACAATTTCGTGCATATTATAATAACCATAAAGTTTTTATCGCATAACTTTATTATATAGTGCACAGTAACAACGCCTGTTTTAGACACGGTAAAGTATAGTGCCCGTTTCATCGCTATTCTCGACTTGGGAAACAGCGCCTCATCACGATCGTCATAATAAAGTCCCGGAGTTTCTCAGTACGTTAATCCATTGCTTATTCAGATGAATTTTTGAAGTAGCATGTTTCTGGTAAATCTCGCACCGTTTAAGAAGGTAACTTTCACGCGAATAATTCCG